TCCCTCCCTTCCTCCCTTCCTTTTTTCCTTCCTTTCTCCCTCTCTTCTTCCCTCTCTTCCTTCTCTTTTTCTTCCTTCCACTAAGCTGTGAATGTGGTGTAAGCAGTCACCCCTCTACAAGACTGACTGTCAGGATCCCATCATGACCCTTAGCACACACATGGCCTAGCTGTGGCCCTGCATCTTCCTCTCGGTCTCTTCCCCTTTAACCTAGTCCAGGAAAGATTTTTAATCTCGATTTTTTTTGTCTTTACCATCTTTTGTGCCTGTGTGCAGGCGTGTGTGTGTGTGTGTGCGCGCGCGCGCGCGCGCACATGCATATATGCGTGCATGTATATGAGGGTCAGAGGACAATCTTCCTCGGGGCTGTCCACCATCTTGTTGAGAAGGATCTCTCACTGCTCTTGAACTCATCCCATAACCTAGGCTGGCTGGCCAGGGAGCCTCAGGAATCTGCCTGTCTTCCTCTCCCCTTGCTAGGACTGCAAGCACATGCCACCACACCTTTTTTTTTTTTTTTTTTTTTTTTTTTTTTTTTTTTTAAACATAGGTTTTAGATCAGCTCCTCATGCTTGGAAGGTGAGTAATCTCTCTAGCAATACCATCACTGTCACGTTTTTACATTTGTTCTTTTATTTATTGTGTGTGCCCACGTGCACATGCCACGGTGCTTGTGTGGCGGTCAGAGGACAACTTGGGAGGGTTGGCTCTCTTTTTCCACCATGTGGATCCCAGGGGTACCCACACCTGCAGACCCACCTCCCCATTCTTTCCAAAGGGAAACAATCGTAAGTATTGAGCAAGCACCTCTTGCCTGTTCTCACTTGTTTTCCTTGACTTCTTGTCTGTGTTTGAAATATCATTATCGTCTTTTGTGTGTGTAGTAAGGATCACCCAGTGCTGTGGATGATTGATTGATAAATAAAACACTGATTGGCCAGTAGTCAGGCAGGAAGTATAGGCAGGACTAGCAGAGAGGAGAATAGGGAGAACAGGAAGGCGGAGTAGATATGGATATACTTATTTTCCAAACAAATAACAAATCTTTGATAGAGAGACAAGTAAAAGACATTCCTTTGTTCAGTTAATTTCATCACCCTGATTACTAGTGAGATGGACACTGTTAGGATTCTGTGTTGAGTTGGTGTTTTATACCTCATTGTAATAAAAGGAATGGATCATAGTTGAGTCCTATATGGTCTGTATGTGTGATGGAAGTCATCTTTTTCTTATATGGATTTGTAAGAATTCTTTATGCATTCAAACATTATAGTTCTTTATAATGTGTCATACGTACTTCCCACTTGTGATTTTTCTTTTTTCTAGAATCTTATGATACATTTAATCTGAATATAAAATGTCTTAAAGTTAAAGTCTATTTTAATAATATTCCATGGCAAACAATTAGACATCTTCCTTTTGTCTTATTTTCTGGGCATCACACGATGCTTTGGAGAGCCAGTCTGGGATGCAACAGGCTGGAAAACAGCCTGTTTTTCCTCATCTGTATGTTTAGTGGCAGCGTACCCATATACACCTTTACACTGTCATTTATTTTCCTAGCTCCCTTCTGGGGACTTGTGGCTCCTTTTCAATAGTTTGCTTTTAGAAAAAAATGGTGTAGTTAACGATCTTGCACAGCTGTCCTTCAGCACATTCATGGTTATGCTTCTAGGGCATTCTCATGAGATAAGGATGTACACTCCTTTGGACAAGGATGCCAGCTTGCTCCTGTGTGATTGTGTCAGGCTTGCCCGACTGTCCTCATAACTTCAACAGGCAAATGGATCTCCCCCTTTCCCTGATACCGAGAAAACAAGCATCATTCTTACAGCAATAAAGGCTTTTGTTCAAGCCTGGGACCTGGGTTCTATCAATCACCAGAGCCCATATACTAAAAAACAAGATAATAGAATAGTCCAGAAGCTTGTGAGCCAGCATCGCGGAGAGGCAACGCAGCCAGCTGCGGAACAAGAGCCTGCTGGAGAAGGCGGGCGGAGAGGGCCGAGCCTGTCGGTTGTCCAGGGAGCTCCATGAGCGCACTGGGCACAGGCGCAACTTCACTCACACATGAGTGTGCATGCACACACCTATGCACACGCAAATGCTGAAAGCCTGTTGATGTTTCTCTTACATGATTCCCTGCGCGTTTTTACTCCTTTTCTTATTGAGTTATGGATCCTGGATACATATTTTGAGATGTAACCTTTTCCTTGATATGAGTGACTCCCCCCGCCCCCCATTTGCTGTTGATGGCAAATTTACTTTACCCGCGTTGTTTTTTCTGTGAATAACTTTAAAAAATTGACATTGCCCAGCTCATGAGTTTCTTTCAGTGACTTTGAGGTTTTGTAGATCTGAAGGCCTCTGCAGCTATGGGGAAAACGCAGAAGGGGCCTTATTTATTTCTATGCTGATGTCTTACATTTAAGCCTCTGACTCTTGGGATTCTTTCCAACTAAGAAGCAACGAATGAACTGATTTCTTCCCCACCTGCATGTGCAGCAGCGAGCTTGCTGCTCCAGCCCGAAGCTGCTGACTAAGGCGCCTCTGCTGTCAGATTCTAAACGTTTGGATGTTTTTGTTTCTGTTTCTGGGTTCCGCAAGCATTACCGCCCCTCCCAATATAAAATGCCAAGGTGGAGGCAGTCCCTGCTCCCATCTATCTCTATAATTTTTAGTGAGGGGCAGGACAGTGGTTGAGAGCTTACCCTGCTCATGCAGAGCGTCAGGGGGTTGTTCCCAGCATCCATGTGGCAGCTCACCCCATTCTGTAATGAGGAACTAACACCCCCTTCTGGCCTCCCAAGGCACAGGCGTGTGGTGCACATAAATATATCTGTACAAAACACTCATATCATAATAAATATATATTTTAAAGAAGTAATCTAAAATACTAAAATTTATAAAAATATATAAAGTAAAAAATTCATGATAAAATAAATTTTCTGTTTATTCCCTAGTCTGTGTTTTCTCTAATCAATTTCAGCTTAATCAGTTGACACAAAGGCTGAAGGCTGTAGATCCATTTGGGGGTGTTATAGTTCATTAAAGGACTCATCTTGGGGAACAAGCAGCTTTGTTTTGTTTTTTGTTTGGTGTTGATAAGAACTGGATGTGTTAACAGTTTTGTTCATCCAGCAATCCCACCAAGATACTGTTAAGATTTGCTCAGCTCCAGTTTCTCTGCTATTTTCTTCCAGGTCACCATTTGCAATTTATCTTGTAGCTTTCTTCAGTCTGCCTTGCATTCTGCAGATTTCCAT